AGAAAAATGAAATGCTAAAAAGCTGAAAAAATTAGCATTGCACAAATATCAAGTATTGCACAAAAATTTATGATTTGCCAATCTTTTATCATACCTTGGAAATTACATTGTATTCTAATAGCAACAGATTAAAAATGATGAAATAATTTACATAGATTAGAAACTGTTGGTCTATTTCTCCTACTTTATATTCAGAGATGATTACATTCTTTAGCAATCAGGGTTAAGTTAGGGAAACAAAAACTAGTCCAGTTATGATTTTTGTCTGTGTTCAATAAACTCTCAGTTTTGGAATACTTTTAGATTTACAAAAAAGTTTCAAAAGTAATACAGAGAGTTTGTATTCTATTCCTTTAATGGTAACATCTTACGTAACCTGGGTGCATTTGTTAAAACTAACATTGACACAGTACTACCGACTTTATTTAGAATTCACCAATTTACCCACACATGTCCTTTTTCTGATCCAATGCAGGATACCCATTGCATTTATGATTTTGTTTGCTTAGTCTCCTTTGATCTATGATGATTTCTCTGTTTGGTCTTCTCTTTCATGATCTTGACAGTTTTAAATAATGTTATTGGTCAGATATTTTGTAAAATGTCCCTTCTTTTAGATTTGTCTGAAGTTTTTTCATTAGCATGGTGTTATGGAACACTCCATTTATTTATTTTTAATAATTTTTTTTATTTATTTATGATAGTCACACACACAGAGCGAGAGAGGCAGAGACACAGGCAGAGGGAGAAGCAGGCTCCACGCACCAGGAGCCCGACGTGGGATTCGATCCAGGGTCTCCAGGATCGCGCCCCGGGCCAAAGGCAGGCGCCAAACCGCTGCGCCACCCAGGGATCCCTATTTTTAAAAATGAGACTCAAGACTTTATTTAGATTTGACCAGTTTTTCTGACATTGCCCTCTTTCTGTTCCAAGCTCTGGCATAGGGTATCACATTGTTTAATTTTCAAGTCTCTCCACTCCCTGTGACAGTTTCTCAATCTTTCCTTGTTTTTCATGACCTTGACAGTCTTGAGGATGATTGTTTGGGCAGCCCATAGGATGTCAACAAACCTGAGTTTGTCTGATATTCTCCCCACGATTAGATTGGGGTTATGGATTTTTGGAAAAAATACCTCAGAGGTGAAGCACTGCTTTTATAATATCATTTCAGAGGGTACATGAAATCCACATGAACACCCTCTTCACTTGTTTAGTTTTCTTCACTGCCAAGCAGTCAAGGTTTTTTTTTTTAACAGTTTTATGAGATATAGTTCACATGCCATACAATTTACCATTTAAAGTGTTATAATTCATTGCTTTTAGGTATGTTACATTTTTAATTTTTAAAAAATAGTTGTAATATATGTATAACATTTTAGCCATTTTTCAACCCACAGTTTAGTGGGTTGAATTACATTCATGATGTACAACTAATATCACTATTTCTAAAACGTTTTTTATCCCAAACAGAAACTATGTAATCATCAAACAATAGACCCTCATTCCCCCATGCCTCCAGCCCCTGACAATCTGTAATTTACATTCCATCTCTTTTAAAAAATTATTTTTATCTTATTTTATTATTTTTATTTTCTTAAATTTAAAATCAATTAGTTAACATATAGTGTGTTAGTTTCAGAGGTAGAGTTTAGTGATTCACTAGTTGCGTATAACACCCAGTGCTCATTATTATTTTTATTTTTTAAGTAGGCTCCACACCCACCATGGGGTCCAATGCAGAGCTTGAACTCATAACCCTGAGATCAAGACCTGAGCTGAGATCAAGAGTCAGATGCTTAGCTGACTGAGCCACTGACTCCTGAGCTCAGCTCCTGAGCTCAACTCTTGGTGAGTTCAAGCCCCATTCTGGTGACCCTGATCTACATTTCCTCTCTGTGAACTTGCCTATTTGGGGTACTGCATATAAGTGGAATCATATAATACTGGTCCTTTTGTGTATGGGTTATTTCACTTAGCATAATACTTTCAAGGTTCATCCAAGTATAGAAACACTCAAGGTATTTTAACAGAAAGAACTCAATATGGAAATTGAACAGTTAGTGGAGGACAGAAAAGGCAATCTAACACTATAGTTAAAACAGAGAGAGATCCTGTGGGACTCAGTTGACCAGCCTAGCCTGGAAACAAAGGGAAGAGCTGAAGGTATCAGATCCCAGAAGCTTAGAGGAGGGAGAGAGGTGTATCATGTGGATCTGGTATCCATAGCTCTGAAGAGAGGTTGCTGATCAGCTGGTGGTGGTATATGTCAGGGGGCATGATGATGCTGGTTCTGCATGTGGGGCAAAAAAGTTAGAAACTGGAATGATCTGATATTGCTGGCCACCAAAACCAGAAGATTCAAGTCATGTATCATTCCTTGTTCCTATCTTCCTCTTGTATATCATGCTGTCAGAACATAACAGGAAACCACATGGGCATAAGGAGCTTGCCTTAAAGCTGTGGGTGTGGACTGTGGGCAAGGAAGTATAGCAGGAGGGTGATTGGCTTATTTAATTGGCCAAAATGAGGGTGACCTCATTTCCTATAATTGATCATCTGTAAGAACAACTTCAAAAACAGCAGACACGTTTTATCCCCCAAATAACCTAGTCAATCAGAATGAAGGCAGACCAGTTTGTATTCCAAATTCTGTAGGATAGATATCCCATCACTTTTCTCGTGTCTTATGGTGAACTGGAGGAGGCCTTTGAAATGGCTTAGGTGTTTGTTCCTTGTGGTTCCCTTGTTAGTAGATATGCTTTTTAAAAATAAAAAAAATTATTAAAAAATTTTCAGCTTTATTGAGATATAATTGATGTATCACTGTTTAAGTTTAAGGTATACAACATGATTTAATATAGATGTATATTGTGAGATGATTAAGAGAATACACTTTTAATATGGTTTAATGTATTCATGGATACAGGAAGTGGATTTGTTTTTATCTCTTGGATTCTGTGAGTTTCCTATTTGGCTTCTAGGAACCTCAGAGCATCTTTCATTATAATGTGCACTTTTAACCTGGATCCTTCACTTTAGGCCTTCAACCTTGCCTGATGTATCAGTCAGCATAAGTTAAGTTATGCTGCAGTAACAAATGACCCCTGAAGCACATTGCCTTATGACATCTGAAGTCTAGTCTTGGATCCATTAATTGTAGATTTTAGTGTGACTTGTGGTTTGAAGAAAAAGTTTACAAAGAACTATAAACAATTGATTTTGTCTGGAGTGATGGACAAGACTTCCCTGAAGAAGGGATATTTGAACTGTGATATGAAGGATAAAGTGGTAGTTGGGAAGAATGATCTAGGCAGAGAGATCTGGGGTGAGAAACAGCCTATTTTTTTGGTGGGGGGAATGGAAGGCCAAAGTGACTGGGGGAAGAAAGAGAGATGGGATAGAGATGAGAACATGTGACCTAGCAGTCAAATTAAGACTGTTTTCCTTACTCAAAGGGTTGTGGGAAACCACTGAAAGATTTTAGGAAGTTGCATGGCAAGTCAGATTTTCATTTTTTTTTTAAAGCAGGCTCCTTTCTGGGTGTGGAGCCCAGAGTGGGGCTTGAACTCACCAAGACCTGAGCTGAGCTCAGGAGTCAGATACTTAACTGACTGAACCACCCAGGCACCCCAGGTCAGATTTTCATTTTTAAATGATCATCCTTGCTGCTGTTAAAGAATGGCTTAGAGAACAGGTGGTGGACAGAGGTGGGTTTTCTGTGAAGCTGGCACAGCATAAGCTGCAGGTATCACACTTTCATGGGCCCCTCCAATGCCTTGGAAGAGGCCTGACAATGCACTCATACAGCTGTACTAATTCTGTGTTGGTATTTTTATATTTTTCTTAGGGAGGAGCTCCTCCCACAACAATTGTACAGGTCCTGGATCTGTCCTTTATACTCAGTAATAATCTTTCAGGACACACTTTCAAATCCTTAGCAAATACCTTGGGGGCGGGGGAGAATTCTTAATCAGGAGTTTTGAAGAATTAAGCCATTGGTTCCATGCTGTCACCTGTTGTATGGGTATGGTTTTTGGTGATGAACAACCCTGACTGACTTTAGCAAAATGGGAATTTGTTGGAAGGACATTACGGCAGGAGCTGGCACACTTCTGAAAGGGTCTGGATAGTAAATACGTTGTTTGTTGTAACTACTTACACCTGCCATTTTTTGGATAAAAGGAGCCATTGAGTGTAAATGTGTAAATGAGTGAGCATAACTGTGTGCCAATAAAGCTTTGTTTATAAAAACAGGTTGCAGACTGGATTTGGCAAGTGAGGCATAGTTTGCTGACCACTGTTTATTTGGAGACTCTGGAATCATTGGGTGTTTAAACCACAAGTTTTCATTTGAATGGGTGTATGGGACTCAGTATATGCATCATCCCAGATCTACTTGGCCCTGTGTACTTAACCCTGTCTCAGTCACTTGCTATGCCAGTCCCATGGATAAAGCCCTAACTGCTGCCATGGTTATTATTGCACCATAGAATGAGGAGACTTGAGTTTGCTACTTAAGAACTTGGTGACTCTAGATAAGTCCCATATGATTATGTTTCCTGAAGCGTTAAGGAGAGAAATACTTTGAGGCTACACCCAAGTTCAGTGGGAAAGGTGTGATTGATTAGTCATGTCTGCTGTGGGCACCTGGGTAAGAGTGCCATGGCACTCTTGCTAAATATTTGTGATCCTGTAACTAGCTGATCTTCAAGGTCTCTAATGGTCCTGAAAAGCTACAGTTCTGTGTCTGGATACTTCCTCAGGAACATTCTGGAGATGACATGATTATGTAAAATATAACAGTTTGAAATGGAAGTGTGGCCTCTAACTTAACAAATCTCCTACACATCTGCCTTTATGAAAGAGATGGGATAAGGCTCCTAATTCCCTGCTCATGATAGACATGTCCAGGAGGGAGTGACCATTGGGAAAAACAAACTAAATCCATAATGCTTTTAACATTAGCCTTATGTTTTAAGCACAGAGCAGATTCCAATACATACTTTTAAAGTTTGACAACTGTTTATTGAACATCCATTATGTTGATCCAAGGCTTGTTTCTGCCCTCAATCCTGTAATCATCAGTGTCTCATCCTGGGTGAGAGTGGAGAATCAATTAGAAAGAATACTGGGGGTGGTTCTTTGGAATACATATGGGTGGGAGGTAGTGAGAGAAAGGGAACCCCAGCTTGGGGAAATGGTGACAAGCAAAGCCTCAGAGGCAGGAGTGAGTAAGAGGACATTCATGCTGTTGGAAGAGTGAATTCACAGTTGGGGAGGTAGGAGATGAGCTTAGTTGATTGCTGGTACAGGGGGAATTATAAGGATGTGAGAAATCAAGATGTGGAGTTTGACCTTGATATCTTTTTTTTAATAATAAATTTTTTATTGGTGTTCAATTTGCCAACATACAGAATAACACCCAGTGCTCAATGTAGGGTACTGTTGTGTGTGCTTGAATGTTCTAGGTAGGTCAAGAGTTGCACATGGTGGTCAGAGGAGGGATGAAATGGGCAGGCAGAGAGGCGAGGAAGGAAGATAGTGCAAAGATGTAGACATAGAGGACAGGACTTGAGCCTGAAGAGTAACATGTAAGGGAAGGGAAGACAGATGTGAGAATTGTTCAAAGTCAGGCTATGCTGAACACAGTGCTTGGTAGCATTTGAAAGGAGATAAGAAGAAGGGAGTCATAGATAACTGCAGAATTCTGAACCTGGTCTGAGGATGAGGGTGCTACTTGAAAGAGGAACTGGGGAGAAAGACTCATCATTAGCCATGAATTTTCAATGATGGCAGATAGGCCCACAGGTTATTTCAGTGGGGAAGGATCAAGGCTGGAGATGGGGAGACATGAATCATGGACTTGGAAGGCAACACATTTGGTTCAAATTCCAACCCAATGCCCAATCCCACAGGGGTAGCCTTGACTGCTGGGTATCGCTTAACCAACTGAGCCACACAGGCACCCTGCTATGTGGCGTTTGACAAGCCTTTAAACCTCTTTGGGTCTCTATCACATTGTCTAAAAAATAGCAGAGTGACACTAGAGAATTAGCCATGGGTTCAACATGTTGTAATTCAGAGTGGTTAAAAGCTGAAGCCTTGAGAAGAAATAAATGGATGGATTTTCTTGGAAAGAAGGCAGAGTCCAGGGCCTTGGGTAGGATCAGTTAGTAGGGAGAGACTCAGAAAAAGATGAAACAGCTCCATTATCCAAAGAGAGCCCATGAGCTAAAAGGAGAATGATGTCAAGGTACCAGCTTGCCAAGGAAGAGGAGTCTTGGAAAGAAAGAATGATTCTTGCTTTACTGATTTTCTAGGGGTTGGGAGGGAGTCTCTGGGAGATGGAAATGGATATGGTTCTCAGAAGAAGGTTATAACTCCAAGTGAAATTCAGGATCCAGTGAAATTTTGATTGGGGTGGGAGGTGGTGTGTGAGTGTTGGTATATCAGTGGAAAATCTTGAGCTTTATCCAGTTACATTTGCATAGGTATAATTAATAAAAGAAAGAAAAGGGTTTCAGTTGAAGATAGGAACAGTGGATATACTCTTAGGTTGTATTAATAAAGGTAGAGATTCCAGTCTGAGGGAGGTGAATGTTCACATTACTGCTATGCCTTGTACTATGTTGTGGCTGGCTTGCTTTAAGAAGGGCAGGGGCAGATAGAAAGAGGACTTGCATGAGGGGTGTGATGAAAGAGGAACTGGGTAACATTTGGCTTTGGGAAGACAAGATTTTAGGGGAGTGGTGAGAGCTGCCTCTAAATATCTGTGTGGCAGAGAGAGCCCTTGAAAGACAGCCCTCCCTGCCCTTTCTACTTTTACTGCAGATAGAGCCGTTTCCGAAGGGTGCTTTGGATTTCAGGATTCACTTTCCTTGGTTTTCCTTCCTGAACCAATTCTGCTTCCGCCATCCGCCGGGTCACCTGCAGCAAGGGGTGTAGTCAGCTTGGGGTTGGGTCCCTAGGGGAGCTGGTATGGTGGGCTTATAGGGAGAAGGTTAGAGAACAAGAGAGGTAGGTCTCCATTTTCTAAAATGGGACACCTTTATTACCTCTTCCTTTTTTTTTAAAAAAGATTTTATTTACTTATTCATTAAACAGAGAGAGAGAGAGACAGAGACAGAGAGAGAGACAGAGACACAGGCAGAGGGAGAAGCAGGCTCCATGCAGGGAGCCCTATGTGGGACTCGTTCCCAGGACTCCAGGGTCATGCCCTGGGCCAAAGGCAAGCACTAAACCACTGAGCCATCCAGGGATTCCCCTATTGCCTCTTCCTATGCCATAATCTCTACGGAATCATTGGTTGGACATTCTTGTTATGTTTTTTTCTAATCCACCAGAAAAAGCACCTAATCATTAGAAGAAGACAAAGTTTGTTCAACCAAAGGCTAAAACTATGGATTTTTTTTTTACAGAAATTTATCTGTATTTCATCTAAATTATCTCACATACCCTGGCTTTGGAATTTCCTGCATAAGGGAAACTCATCCCTAGGACATGGTTATTCTAGTTGGGACCTATGTTGGACTTGGGGCTGGGGGCAGGAGAAGGGGAAAATGCAGAAAGTTTTGTAAGAGGCTTAGCCTTCTTGCTCAGGCTGGGTGAGGGTTTCAGGTACCATGTCCCCAACTCACCTCTGTCAGTAGCTCCAAGATGGGTCCTTTCCTCTCTGTGAACACATCAACAAGGGTCTGGATGAAGCAGGAGCCCTCTTTGTCATGTCTGTATGCGATATATCCTAAGGGTTCCAGAGAAGAGGGCTCAGAAGAGCTCTGATGGGAGTGGGAGGGTTGGGGTATGTGTGGTGCAAGAGGCCCTGGTTAGACAGTGGGTCCTGGAGGAGTGTCTCAGGGGTCAGCAGTGGTGGGCAAGGAGGGGGAGCAGAAGGCCACCCTGTGTCATCTAGGAGCTCATACCCTCCACGGTGGAGTAGACATGGAGGATGTCCGTGTACGTTGGGATGGTTTGGGGACTGTCTTTTGTGATCATCACAATATCGTCTCCACTTACTGTTTCACCGGGGTCCCTTTGTTCTGAAACGTCAAGAAGAGGAAAAGGCAAAGTTAGAGAAAAAGACGGGGAAAGGAGGTCAACCTAAGACAGCCTGGCAAACCAAGGCGTAGATGATGCTCTGGATCTAGGGTGAAACTGGATGAGGAACACAAACTCTGTGTTCTTGGCTTTGTCCCCACCTCCTCGACAGGCCTGCACGATGTACACCTTAGGCTTGGCTCTTAGGGCCCGGCAATTCTTGTTGTTCAAAACCTTGAAGAGGTCTTCCAGCTCCACCATTTCTCCATCCTCCCCCTTGAGGCGACCTTCCAGCCCATGTGCCATGAGCACCACAAAAGCACAGCTGATGAAGTCATCCCTGGCATCCATGGCCTGCTGAAATTTGTCCAGCTCTTCCTGGAATTGCTAGAGAGGAATGGCCAGATTCAGGTGTGGCCCCAGAGCCCACCTTCTGGGCCAGTCCCCTCCCTTATTGGTCTGGGGCTGACAGCACAATACCTGGGCGGTGGGGTCTCTCTTTATGGTGCTCTCAAACTTCAGCTGCTGGAACATGCGTTCCAGAGCATCCAGGTCTGCCTCTGAGCCTTCCCGAGCTTTGGTGACGCACAGTGTCAGGGCTAAGCGGGCGCCTGACATGTCGTATGTCTCCTGGGCCAAGAGTAGACAAAAATCATCAAAGGGATAAGGAAGTCAAGGTAAAGCAGAAGATGTGGTCCAAAGAGGCCTGAGGTTTGGGTGGTTGGGTAAAATACAGGATGCCCAGTTATATTCAAATTTCAAATAAAAAAGGTGTTTTTTTTTGTATGAGTATGTCCCAAATAGTACATGGAAGATACTTATACTAGAAGATTATTTGTTGTCAATGTGAAATTCCAATTTGAATGGATATCCTTTATTTTTATTTGTCAAATCTGGTGAATTAACTGGGATCTGACTCTGTTTTAGCTCTGTGCGAACTTGGGCATCACTGCTGAGTCTCAGTTTTCAAACATAGACAATGGGAATATTTACGGGGGATTGTGAGGGTCCTTTCTAGCTATCACACTGGTGGCTTTGTCTCTCTTTCCGTCCTTCCCAAGAGTATTCCGTGCATCACTCTCTCACTTAAAGAGGTCTCAGAATTTCTGAAGCTATTGCTAAGATCCTACCTTGTCCTGAGGAAAAAGGATATTGGGTTCAAAATTTCTTTTCTTATCTTGTCTTATCTCACTGTCAACCATAGTGATAAGAATTTGATTGTTGAGACAGATATAGCAGGGCCCCCCACCCCAGCTTGGTTTTCATATCTGTTTTTTTCTCCATCTGAATGATTACAATGCACCTTCCAGCTCTGAACATGCATCATGATTTTTCACCTTCTCCACTATCTCTGAAATATTAAGTTCCTCACCTTCACTCTATCCAGATTCTCCCACCCCTCTCCCCCAAACTGCACCCAGCCCACCTCCTCCAAAGGCTGAGGATTGCTCATGTTTCCTCTGATTCTCAGTCCGTCTCTCAGCACTCTTGGTTGATCCTGGAGGGTCAAGAGAAGATAGTTTAAAGGTCTCCAAGTGAAGACAGAGGGGCTCAAGGAATAGATTAGTTTGTCTATCTGGATTTTTGTGACTGAATAGAAACCAAGTGGTGGGGACTTGGTTCATTGGTTCATGGTCAGACCTGGAGAAGAGATGACAGTCTGTGAAGCATGGCTTCTCTAGTGTGACACTCCAGTGGTGCCTTCTGTCCTTGGATGCTCCCAGAACTCCTGCTAGGCCCACCCTAAAATGCCATCCCCCTGAAATTTCCCCTATCCTTCCCTCAGGACACTCACCAGCTTGTGACAGGCTGGACTGCCTGCCCCCCCTAACAAAGGACCTGGACTGATGAAGGGGAAAGCAGCCCCATGTCCTCCTCTATGCTGCCCAGAACTGACCAGCTGGGGAGACATCAACAAGGAGATACTTTGGGATTGAGTTTACCATGAGAATGTCATCAAAGTGGGGAGTACTGCTTTGGAACTGTTCTACTGTGTCTCTAATCCAAACAGATCAATCCACCTCCCTCCACTACTTGAGCCTGAAAATCTGCCTGAGTTCTCCATTCTCGTTTCTGAGTTCTGTTTTACTCTATGGATGAACAGAATGACTTTTCCCATATTCTTGGAGTTTTCCCATCTCCTTGCTTTTTTTTTATACTTCATCTTCAGCCCGAAATATGTCTTTACTCGTCAAGATCCTTCTCTGCCAATTTGGATAGCTTCATGTCTACTATGCCTTCCCCCTGCCATCTACTCATCCATCCATGTACCCATCCATATATCTATTTATCTGTCAAGAATTTTCTGGGTGCCTATTATTTGCCAGCCACCAAGAATAAACTGTGTAAGATGGACATGCTCCCTATCCTCATGTAGCTCTAGTCTGTGACAGAAATGAATATTAAATCTCTCTTGTTCTTAGGATGCCTGGTTGCCTCAGTCGGTGGAATGCGTGACTCTTGATCTTGGGGTTATATGTTTGAGTCCCATGTTGGATGTAGAGATCACTTAAAGATAACATGTTAAAAAATCTCTCTTGTTCTCTTACACACACACACACACACACACACACACACACACACACACACACACGAGTTAGTGCCGTGAGGAAAGAGGAACCAAACTGAGAAAGAAAGTCAAAGGGGTATGGGTTCTGGAGCCAGAATGAACCGGAATGAAGAATGGAATGGAATGAAGAATGGAACCGGAATGAAGTCTTTCCCCTGCCCCTTCCCAGCTGTGTGAACTTGAGCATCTTATTCTCCTCTCCAAGACTCATTTTTCCCATTGGAAAAGGACCGTGAAAGAGCACTAGATGCCTTACAGCAATGACACAGCAAGGGAGGTTTTATGATCCCTGTTAACTCATTGGAAGTCACCTCTCCCTTCACTAGACTCTCAGAGTCCTGCATGTTTATACTTATGTGACAGTAGTGCTTTAGATTCTTATTCTAGTGGCTGAACTGGCAGCTCAATTTTTAGGATCAAAGTCTAATTTCTTTATCTCTGTCTCCATCAGGGTCACCAGTATGGGAATGGGCATAGAAGTAGTATCCAAGGAAATTTGTTGAGTTAACAAATAATAAATAAATGAACAAATAAATGATGGATGGATGGATGGATGGATGGATGGATGGATAAATAGATGGATGGAAATTTCTTTAGTTCTGCCAAAACTGGCCAGGCCATCCGTTCATGCAGGGAGAAGGAGAGAATAAAAGAGAGAGAAGAAAGAAGAGAAAAAGAGGGGAGGAGAGGGGAGAGAGAGAGAAAGCTAGAATCTGCCAAATCACTTACTGATTTGAAAAATGGCTGTTCCTCAAAGCCAGGCCAAGTCTTGCCACTCTGCTAACTGCCAACAGGGCTAGGCACCGAAGACAGGTCCACGTGTTATCTTGGAGAAGGGGCTGACAGTGTATCTCCAGAGAGGCCTGTGTATAAATTGAGCAGCACAGCCATCTGGCCCTTTATTGCAAGCCAGTTTTCTGTCGCTCAAGAAACCTCATGATGGGAGGGACACACCCTTGGCACAGCCTTGGTGAGGAGATGGAACCAGATGCCCATGGAATGAGTCATGGCAAAGCTCAATCAACACCTCCTTGGCTAAGGAGGCCAAGGCGGAGCATTCAAATCAGCCAGGGCATTTATGCCAGCCCATCCACAAGGCAACCCTCAGGTCCAGCCCATCTGGTTACCATAAATCATCATTTCCATCATTATGCTCTCTTCCATCCTTTCTATATTCAACTAGGCAGATAACACCAACCTCACCTGTTTATTACTTCATCAAGTGTTCAACAGCCCCAAGAGGTCAACATTATTACGCCCACTTTGTAGATGAGGGAACTGAGACTCATAGAAGTGAAATGACTGCCCTGGGTCACCCAACCAATGATTGGCACAGTTGGCATTCAGCACCAGTGAGTCTGATCCATCCACATCATCAGACTCAACTGCTGTCTTCTCTTTCTCGTGACCTTCTTCCTTGATTCTTTATCAGCCTTAATTTTAATTCGCTTTATTTTAGATTTTGCTAGTAGATTTAAAGAGATATAATTTATTATTCATATACCAAACAATTCACCCATTTAAAATGTTTAATACTTCTTGAGGAACCTCCATACCTTTTTCTAGAGCTACCTTATGACCTAGCAATTGCATTACTATGTATTTGCCCCAAAGATACAAATGTAGTGATCCAAAGGGACCCTGCTCCCCAATGTTTATAGCAGCAACTTTTACAATAGGCAGACTGTAGAAAGATATGTTCATTGGCAGAATGAATATATATATATGTGTATATATGATGGAATATTACTCAACCATCAGAAAGGATGAGTACTTACCATTTACATCAATGTGGATGGAACTGGAGGGTATTATGCCAAGTAGAATAACTCAATCAGAGAAAGACAATTATCATTGATTTCACTCATATATGGAATACAAGAAATAGCACAGAGGATCATAGGGGAAGGGAGGGAAACCTGAATGAGAAGTGATCAAAGAGGGAGAAAAATCATGAGAGACTCTTACAGGAAAAAAAAGAAGGTTGTTGGAGGGTAGATGGGTGGGGGGGATGGCATAATTGGGTGTTGAGCATTAAGGAGCGCATGTGATTGGATGAGCAGTGAGTGTTATATGCAATTGAGAAATCATTGCACACTATATCTGAAACTATGTATTTTATGTTGACTAATTGAATTTATTTTTTATTTTTTTTCCTTTTTTTATTTTATAAATTAATTTTTATTGGTGTTCAATTTACCAACATACAGAATAACACCCAGTGCTCATCCCGTCAAGTGTCCCCCTCCGTGCCCGTCACCCATTCACCCCCACCCCCCGCCCTCCTCCCCTTCCACCACCCCTAGTTCATTTCCCAGAGTTAGAAGTCTTTATGTTCTGTGTCCCTTTCTGATATCTCCCACACATTTCTTCTCCCTTCCCTTATATTCCCCTTCACTATTATTCATATTCCCCAAATGAGTGAGAACATACACTGTTTCTCCTTCTCCGATTGACTTACTTCACTCAGCATAATACCCTCCAGTACCATCCACGTTGAAGCAAATGGTGGGTATTTGTTGTTTCTAATGGCTGAGTAATACTCCATTGTATACATAAACCACATCTTCTTTATCCATTCATCTTTCGATGGGCACCGAGGCTCCTTCCACAGTTTGGCTATTGTGGACATGGCTGCTAGAAACATCGGGGTGCAGGTGCCCCGACTAATTGAATTTAAATAAAAAGGGTATAATCTAATGATTTTTACTACATTAAGTGTTGTGCAATCATCACTGCAGCCCATTTTATTTTATTTATTTATTTATTTTATAATAAATTTATTTTTTATTGGTGTTCAATTTACCAACATACAGAATAACACCCAGTGCTCATCCCGTCAAGTGCCCCCCTCAGTGCCCGTCACCCATTCATCCCCACCCCCTGCCCTCCTCCCCTTCCACCACCCCTAGTTCATTTCCCAGGGTTAGGAGTCTTTATGTTCTGTCTCCCTTTCTGATATTTCCTACCCATTTCTTCTCCCTTCCCTTCTATTTCCTTTAACTATTATTTATATTCCCCAAATGTATGAGAACATATAATGTTTGTCCTTCTCCGACTGACTCATTTCACTCAGCATAATACCCTCCAGTTCCATCCACATTGAAGCAAATGGTGGGTATTTGTCATTTCTAATGGCTGAGTAATATTCTATTGTATACATAAACCACACCTTCTTTATCCATTCATCTTTCGATGGACACCAAGGCTCCTTCCACAGTTTGACTGCAGCCCATTTTAGAACATTTTCATCACCTCAAAAATAATCCTGTACCCTTTAGTTATTGCCCCCAATCTTCCTCCTATCCACATCTCCCAGCCCTAGGAAAACACTATTTTCTGTCTATAGGTCTCCTTGTTCTGGATATTCCATATGAATGGGATATGTATTTTTTTTGTGTGTTTGGCTTCTTTCACTTAGCATAATATCTTTAAGTTTTATCCATGTTGTAGCATGTGTCAGTATTTCATTTCTTTTTAGTGGCTGAATAATATTCCATTCTATGGATATACCGCATTTTGTTTACCCATCCATCCATTAATGGATATTTGGGTTGTTTTCACCTTTTGGCTAGTATGAATGACATTGCTATAAACACTAGTATGTATACAAGTCTTTGTGTGGATGTATGTTTTTACTTCTCTTTGGCTTATATCTAGGAGTGGAATATTCAGACAATACTGAAATGTATTCAGTAAAACCAGAACATTCCTATTAAATACTACAGCCACTGTAGAACACTGTAGAACACTGTAGAAAAAAAAAGTAAATATAGAATTACTATTTAATACAGCAATTCCAGTTCGGTGTATTTATACAGAATAATGAAAATAGGGTTTCCAACAGATATTTGTACACTAGTATTCAGAGTAACATAATTTGTGATAGCTCATTTTGTGGATAGACAAAATGTGGCGCACCCGTGCGATGGAGTATTGGTTAGCCTTAAGAAGGAAGGAGATTGCCTCCTTCTTAAGGCTATGAAATAAGTGAAATAAGCCAGACCAAAAAAGGACAAATACTGTCTGATTCCACTTATATGAAGTCCCTAGAGTAGTCAGATTCATAGAAAGAGAAAGTAGAATGGTGGGCACCAGATGCCAGAGTCTGAGGAGTGGGGAGTTAGTGTAAATGGGGACAGAGTTTCAGTTTTGCAAGATGAAAATGTTCTAGTGATGGATGGTGGTCATGGTTGTACAACCATGTGAATGTACTTAGTGCCACTGAACTGCACACTTAAAAATGGTGAAAATGGTAAATTTTGTTATGTGTATCTTACCACAATAGCAAAATAAAAAAACACCCTGAAACATTCTCATTCTCCCTTAATTCTTCCTTTTGTGTCAAGGTAGCCCAGGCACTAGACTTGTTAGTTTTCCTGCAAATCCCCATCCCTGCATTGATCTACATATTTATAGCTGTTTGTTATATATATCTTGGCTCATTTCACCAAATTGTTCTGTTACTTGCTTTGTTCACTTAATTATATGTCTGGGTCATCTTTCCATGTCATTCTATATGGATCAAACTCATTTTTGGTTTTCTTTTAAAACATTTTTCATTGAAGGGTGCCTGAGTGGCTCAGTTGAATAAGCGTCTGCCTTGGGCTCAGGTCATGATCTCAGGGTCCTTGGATAGGGCTCACATCTGGATCCCTGCTCAGCGGGTAGTCTACTTCTCCCTCTCCCTCTTCCTTTCCCTCTTCTTGTGTGCTTTCTCTGTCAAATACATAAATAAAATCTTAAAAGAATTTTTTTCATTGAAGATAAACTATATGCAGAAAAGAGCACAAATTATAAATAAATGTGCATGCAACTCAATGAGTTTTCACACATTGAACACACCAGGATTTGATCAAGGAAAAAGATGTGAATAGCTAGCTGCCCCTGGATTTCCTCTCCTGCTTCCTTTCTTGTCACTATCCTGCTCCTGCCTTCCCCAAACGCTATCTTCATACAGAACACTGCAGATTAACTCTTCTTGCTATTGGGACTTTATATAAATGGAATCACATGATATGTTCTCTTCTGTATCTGGCATCATTCACTCCAACATAATGTTTGTGAGATTCAATCCTTTTTGCATGCAGCTGTAGATTCTCAATCTTATTGCTTTATAACTGTATTTTTCAATCTTTTTTCATTATTGTCTCCTCACAATGATGGGAGAACACAGGGCTGGCTGAGGACACGGCACAAGCCTGGGACAGCACATTGACAAGCCCTTGAAACAGGCAGAGGGACATTCCTCTATGGACTCAACTGCCTCTATGTTAATACTTTGCTAAGGGCAAAAGGCAATCTTAGCCTGACCCCCAGGATCCTGTAAGTCTATTTTAACATATTAAAATTCCTTTAGAAATTCCCTTTATCTCTAAACCCCCAAGATACATGTTGGCAATCATCCTCCAAGCACATGGCCCATCCATATACATCTGAAGGGTCTCATGACTCAGGTTTTATTAGATGGTAATAAGTGACTTTTCCCAACAATAGCCCCCTCAAGGTCCTGGAAACCTTGCTTCCAAAATTCATTAGAATTCATTATCCTCAAATCCCTCCCATCTCCCAGGTATATAATCAGCCACCCCTCACAGGCCTGGGGGAAGCAGCTCTTCCTGCCCATGGGTCCTGTCCCTGTGCTTTAATAAAACCACCATTTTGCACCAAAGACATCTCAAGAATTCTTTCTTGGTCATCGGCTCCGGACCTCACCCCACCAAACTTCACCTATATTCCAAAACTTCATCAACAAGAAGCCATATTAGACATTTTTCCTAGTTGTCCCTCCATGAACTTTATTTTATTTTTTTTAATTTTTTTTCCTCCATGAACTTTAATACTACAGATATACTGTATATGTATCTATATGTCTGTCATGGATCTACCTATCTCTATCTCTATCTCTACCTCTATTTTGTATGTATA